TTCTTTCGAAAGAGAGCGTCTAGACTGCACGTTGAACTTTCGAAAAAGCGGCTTGCTTTTTCGAAAGAAAGCATCCAGTGAGTCTGGATGCTCTCTTTCGAAGAAGCCCTATTTACATTGAAGAACGCCTTCTTTCGAAAGAGGAACTTTCGAAAGAAGGCGTTCTTCCTCGTGAAATGAGGTTTCCCACCATCGAAAGAAAAGCCGCGTTCTTTCGATTTAATTTCGAAAGAACGCGGCTTGAGTCTGGACGCAGGGGAAGTTTTTTCGGAAAAAGGCTACTTTTCCCGAAAAAAACCCTGAGTCTGGACACAGCCCTAGTGATTTCAGCTTCTCAGTGATTTCAGCACTTGGCCCACAGCGCAGTCCAGCCAAAAGATTCCAGCATCCACTGGAATAATATTTTAAAATAATAAAGAGACTCCTTACGGAGTTTGTTTTAGTTCTATCATTAAACAGGAGCAGGGGGAGAGAAACAGGTTGAACCAGTCTTACGGCTAATGCCTGTAGTGCTTGCAGCTTGTTGGTTCAGAGTTCTGCTCTTCCCCCAAGTTCATCTGAGATTCTTTACACTGACAGTTTCTCTCCTTTAAACTGATTTAAACACAGTCTGACTTTTCTGCATTCCCAATAACTGCAAGCAATGGTGGTCATATCTTACAATTCATGCATTTAGGGTTAACACAGTTTGTGACTCTGCAACAGCCAAATTGGTTACAATAGGTAAAACACCATTCTAACAATTGAATATCTAGCAGGCCTAAGCAAACTCAGTGAATATAAATACACCCAGAATTCCTTTCCCATTCCAGCTTGCTGTAATGAAAACATTGATTCAGACCCCGCTTACAAGTGCAATGCTGTTGCACAATAAGTGACTATGATTCTGGGATGTATGAGCGGAAGTGGTGTAACTAGACAAGAGATAATTCATCTGCACTGCTGTGGGATGATAATGCTTCAGCTAGAGTATTTTGTCTAATGCTGGGTGCCACATTTCAGGAAAGATGTGGAGAAATTAGATGAAGTCCAGAGGAGAGTAAAAATGATTAAAGATCTGAGGAAAAACTGACAAAAATGAGTTTGTTTCCTCTGGAGAAGGGGAAGACTGAGCTGGGACATAACAGTTTTCAAATACAGGCAGTCCCCGGGTTACGTACAAGATAGGGACTGTAGGTTTGTTCTTAAGTTGAATCTGTATGTAAGTCGGAACTGGCATCCAGATTCAGCCAATGCTGAAACTGATCAGTTTCAACCGCGGCTGAATCTGGACACCAGTTCCAACTTACATACAGATTCAACTTAAGAACCCCAGGCGTCCCCAAGTCAGCTGCTGCTGAAACTGATTAGCAGCTGATTCCAGGAAGCCCGGGGCAGAGCAACTCTGCCTCGGGCTTCCTGCAGTCAGCCGCTGGGCAGGTTCAGCACGG